CGAAAAAAAAAAAAAAAAAACCACGGGTAAACCTAGAACCGCGCTCGGCCCATGGCCGCGCGGTTAAAAAAAAAAAAAACCACGGGTAAACCTAGAACCGTGCTCGGCCCATGGCCGCGTGGTTAATGAGTGTACTTATTTAACATTCCACGTAAATGTAAATACTTAAGGTCATTCCACTGAAATGGAACCTGCACAGAGATTTTTGTCAAACTTTGCCTTTTGATTGTTTATATTATAAGAATTGACTTAAATTTTGAAATAAAAATGAGGGGTCCCCATGTTTGTTTAGGAACAACGTGCCCCCAGCACCTTGTTTATACCCATTAAACCCTTATAATAGCACCATAATTATAGTTACGATTGCTTGCTAAATTCATGTTTCCAACGATTGTTTCCTGTTCTTCACTGAGAATTGGTCCACATTTATTTTACATAGAGAGATTTATCATTCAATTCAAAACAACACAAAAAAATGATAGGTCACCAAACTCGTTTTTGAGGAATTGACAATTTACACCCGGTCCTCTCAAACTTATTGCATGTAATAAGCAATGATTGAATAGTGTTTTACTATCATCTCTGCTAAAATTTTGGGTTTTAGTCTTGAATCATAAATGCCCAAACAAATGTGTTAATTTACTTTTTTATGGCTTTTTATATTGGTGATTTTCTTGAATTTACAGCATATCGTATCCTGCGGGATATGAATTTTAAATATGAAAAAAGTAGGGATTGTACAGGCAGTTTTATTGATTTTTGCAAATTTATGTCTTTTATTGCTGCAAAAAAAAACAGCCCTATACATTTCCCTGAAAAATGTGCTCTGACTAAAGTAAAATGTTTACTACCAGTCTGCCAAATTTACAGAATTTCACAGAAGGAAATGCACGAAAATTCATTGTTAGTTTTGCTTTTTGTTCCCATGCTGATGTCATAAAATATTGAAAAACACTGACGTTTTCCTTCAAACGCAATGTGCCAGCGTGTGCGATAGTAAAACTATAGGGAGCCACCTTAATGTTATTTACCTTGCATTTAGAGTTTTCTGAGACTTCTGAGCAAACAAGAGAACAAAACTTTGCCCCTGGGCTAGACAATAGGTTTACTTCGAGTGAAATTGTAAACCCTTTTACTTTGGTGATGTGACACATGTAGGTCACATGTCATAGGCCATGAAATGTACCAAGCTTAACTGCTTTAGTCATTAAAACATGCATAGGTTGAAAGTACTTAGCTTTATAGAGTAACCCTTATTAATACAACATCAAACAAGGAGTGGGGGAATTTGAATAAAAAATAGTTTTTCCTGACACTTTTTATGAGTAACCCAAATTTATCCACTGAGAATGTCTGAATACCTTCTTATGGTACAATGTTAAACATGCTGTGTTGTTATGGTGGGAAGTCCTCAATGAGTCGATCAGTTTTCAACTATGCTTAACAACATTAGTGTCCTGAATAACATATTAAAAGGTTTGCAAACACACCTGTAGGCTTGTAACCACATGGTTTGTAATGAGTAGCACTTGCATTGAATCCTAAATGCAAGAAAAAATGCATCTGTCAACACAATGAACAACCATCAAGTTCCATTGTTCAAGGCTTGGAACTCCAAGTTTTAATTTAATAGAGGTACCAACATTGTTTCATCCCTGTACAGTATTAAATAAATTAGTAATTAAGGACAGACATACTTTGATTTGTTACATGTCTATATTTAAAGAAGTATTCTAGTTTGAAAATGATGCAAATGTTGGCTCCTATTTCAACGGTTCATGCTAGTCCCTTGCGCACTCAACCTACACCTCCAACTGAGCAAACTCAGAGAAACAACACAAGCTGCTGAACAGTCCTCAGAGGTCACCAGTGCCTCTCCTGTTTTACACTGTATTGGAACTATTCAAGAATTTAACACAATTAAACTTTGACAGGTTTTAATGTTCTGCAAAATACCTTTGTGAAAGTGAAGTATGATCATCGCAGTAAATTTTCCAATTTAAGCAACTGGAAAGAAGAAACCTGAAAAAAATCAGGG